GTTATTGGACGGGTGTAATCACCAATACCCTGGAACTGTGCTGCGGATGCTCACTAGTCTGCCTCAAACACGTGGATTAGTACCTTTGGCACTCACGGCAGCTAGTGTCTGAGCTCCACAAACTATTGTTTCATTGTATCCCTGACATTTGGACATTTCAAGAAACATATTAAAGTGCTAATTTACAAAGCAGCAACTGAAATCTGTGTAAATTCAATCCCACTCTGCTAATTGCGTATCATGTAGATAGGGACAGTTCAACTCAAGTTAATGCATCAGTATTTTGGGGGAGTTCAACTCAAGTTAATGCATCAATTTTTTGGGGGGAACAGCGTACAAAACTCGTAACACACTCCATTAACTCAGGATGTGTTATTTTGATATGAGCGTCATCCATACCTTGCTTGTCCGCTGTAACACAACGCCTGGTTTGTATCAGTCTTTTCCATTGGAAAAGACTCATGCTCTTTAGCCCAGATTTCCTTTCCCCCAGCCTTTGTGACATTGTCCAAAGGAAATACAGCCTGAGCCACAGCAAGAACGAGATAAGAGGAGCACCACCGGGCAAACATATGCACCGTTGCTGCTTTGCTGCTACTGTTAGTGTCACCTAAGGTGGACTGCAGATTTACCCAGGCATGAGGAAGTCTGCTACAAGTAGTTCACAAGGAATGACATTTCCTTGATCATTCTGAGGAAAGTTTACTCCTTTATAAGAGTATTTCCTGTTTTGTTTACATTGTGCTTAATAGCTGAGGTAAAGTGAGGTAACCTGTTGGGAAAGGAATAATATTAACATAATCACTATTTTATTAAAGCAACACTACAAAGGCACAGTGCTGTTGTCTTTTACAGACAAACAAAAGATGAGATCCTTATGCCATAAAGGAAATCAACATCTTTTAATGTGTGATCTGTGTGGGTGCCACAAACCACACAGCCATAATATTTTAAAGGACTGAAGTCTAAATAGGTCATATTTTGTTGAGTGAAGAAGATGACATGGCCTCCGAGTACCCAGTACCGTGCCTGCCACCTAGCAATGCATAAACCTTTTGGCTTTCTCCATATGCTTTTCTGGTTTTCATTCCTGTTGTGGGTTGTGGGGGACTACAGTTTATAGGCTTTACAGAAGAAATGTATTATAAAGAAAGGTTTAAGCTGGAAGAGCTGCATGAGATTTGAGGGATGCTCAGAAGGCACTAACTCATCAAAGACTAGATTTACTAAATAACTGTGAAATTAGTGAGGAACATCTGTATGTTCTTACTAAGCCCTTCTCATGAGTCTGTATATTCAATTAAATGGTAGCATTTTGACCTGGGAAAATACATTCAGTTTATAAACTGCAATGTTTTCCTTGACTATTACTGAAAACTAATTAAAATAAATTACCTTAATAATACTGTTTTGTCTAGTCCTTTTATTTTCAAAATGCATTTGAGAACAAGACAAGAAAGACACCTTAAAATTTTAAGTCTCACAACAGGATTTATTGGTGCCACCTACTGGCTATTCACTTCTTCTAAATCTCACCAAATTATGAATAATGTGTCTTAAATGCAGAATAATAAGAACATTATGAACCTTACAATTGCATTAGCCAATATCAAACTACAGCATTGGTAAATCTGTAATATTTAAATTACATTAAGTCAAACTTTGGTACAGTGTTCCAACAATATAATTCAGTTATGTAGTTTCTAGGTGTGCCAACAGGAGAAAGCTCAAGCCGGTGTAAAACTGTTGTGTGCAGAATTGAAGCACTAAATCCCTCGTATTTCAGAGGTACGCTGCTCCCTGATGACTACCAGCCATTTCAGATCCTTCCTCCCCAGAGCGTGAGCGCATGGGGCACTGACACGTTTGCATAGCTGGCGAATGTGGTCACGCTGCTTTTTGCCCTTATTTTTGGGGAGGCGTCCTTAACAAAAAGCTGAGGGAGTAAAAGGCGCTTCAGTTCAAAGCCCAGCTAATATTTCTGAAGAGGATGGGTTGAAAGCAGACAGGCGGCGTTTGGGCCTGGAAAGGCCTGCACATATCCTGTTGCACGGCTTCCCTCGGGCAGGCGCAGCAGTCCGCAGAGCTTGGAAGGGAGCTGCCGTCACCGCCGCTGACCCTCCTGCTGCTAAATCTCTTCAAAGACATCTGAGGAGACCTCAGATTTAAACAAGGTTCTAAATCACTTAATTTCTTCACCGTACAAATTGCTAGACTGTAAGTGTGTGAAGCAGTGCCAGAGAAAGGTCAGAAAATTATTAATACATTAACTGAAATGTTAACAAAATCTCGGGTGCCAGGTGAGCGAAGTACTTGCCCATCTGAGTAGTCTCATCCCTAATCAGCAATATATTTGAGCACATGCTTAAAATACTGAATCACACCTAAAAATGCTTTGCTAGATACCAGCGAGGGTGCTCACATTCCTCGCTCTGGATAGATGAGGCATTTATATAGCGAGAAACAAAGATACTTAGATCATGGCTCTGAGAACCAACCTCTGGAATAACTTGCTTAGCAACTAGATTGTGAGGAAACAAAATATATTAATAGTGTGATTGAAAAAAGGGCTCATCCTTCTTTTTCTCTACCTTTTCCAGTCATATAACAAAAACATTAGAGCTTTAAAGGAAGGAAAACGATGTCATTTAGTCATACATGTGGTTTAGTGATTTAATCTATGCATGAAAATGCATTCTGATAGAAGGACCAAAGGCATCAGTTTATATAATGCTAAGGTATTACTTTATACAGTATGATACTAGCAAAGCTTACAGTTAAAGTTGCTAAACTCTTTTAATACTCTATTATTCTGCTGCTTGCTACTTTGACCAGCTTCCGTAGTTTGGCTGAAATTTCCGCACAGCTATCAAGTCACCCCATTTGCTCAAACGGCAGAGCTATTTGCATCTGTGGCAGGTAGGTGTAATCCCTGTAGTGATTCATGCAGGTGCCAAAATAGTTTCACGTACGGGAAGCTGGAGGATTTTTCAAATTTGTATATATTTGCAAAGGACATTATACAACAAAGATCTGCATGAGGAGAGAGCTTTTAGATGTTTGTGATCCTCTGAATAACGATGAGCAACTACACGCTCTCCACTAGCTATGGATGGATTATCTGGTTTATGGATAAATATGCCTGACTCTGCACAGACTAGCTCGGGGCATATTAGCAGAAATGTAGTGCTGCCTGAACGGAGCTAAACCATTCCTACACCTGGTTTGCATGTCTCGGCATCTGGTGTTTCCCGTTCCAGCACTGCAGCGCAGAGCTACTAAAATGGCTGAGCACCGGTCTGATGAGACCTCAGGTAGCTCCACGCAGAGAAATCTGGTTGTCTGATCTTCAGCATTTCCATAGTCGGGTCTTATTAGCTCAGGCCTAGCTGCTTGTGAACATGGTTAAATGCTACTGGATGTGTATTCGTGTGGCCTGGTCTCAGCTAGGAGGAGAAGCGGAAGTGGATGGTCCACAGATCCTTGAGCTCGGTCTCTAGAAAACAACTAAAAGCAACTCTAGAAGCAACTAAATCTGGAAGGTACAGTCAGGTATTTTTCCTTCATCTGGAGACTCATCACAGCACTTCTTTTGTCTTCATCGCTTTCTTAGCAAACACATCAATAAAAAAAAATTTCCTTTCCTTCATTAAATTCAGTTGTTCCACACTGACTTCTAACATTTACCTCTTCCTCAACCTTATCCTCATCTAAGTAGCGTCTGCACCAGTTCTGCTTTCTTTGCATTAATACCGAACAGATGCTACACGCTTCCAGGGAAGCGCCCTGTCGACTGACTACAGAGCCCTTACAGAACTCGGTAACGATGGATTTTACTGGATTTAACGTGCTTATTCGGAAAGAAAGCTCAGAACTGTGTCGATAGAAGGGACACGTCCATTTCTTGATGTTTGAAATTCTGTTAGTCGTGCTCGTGTTTACGTAACATGTTGCCTAGTTAGTACTCAGGACTGTTATCAAAACGTAAGCGTCAGATACTACTTGGAAGGATCCTTCTTTCCGCTTGGCTCTCTGCGTGTGCACGTTTATCCCGGTTAATCTGCGCGCGCTTCGGAAACCCGGGGACAGGCGGGCAGCAAAGGGACCCACGGGGCCCACCTGAGCCCCTGTGTCGTCTGGAGGGGGAGCGCCGCCGCCCCCAGAGCCCAGCGCGGGCTGCGGACGCCGCACCGCCGCCGTCCAGGCGAGGCG